AGCATCTAAATGTCACGATGCCAGGATGTTTTTTATGTTCTATAACAGACAGAAATATGATATAAAAGTAATGAGTTATGTTAATAGCCTAATGTCAGTGAGAATGATTAGTCAAAACTTTACTGTGATAGGATATTCTCGGTTCACGAATATAGCCATATATGTGTATAACTATAGTTTTTGGATTGTATAGGCCTACATACAAAGCATGCTTGTGTTTGTGAATGTAACTAAGCTTCTGTTCATGAAGATCTGTTCTGGTCTAAATATTTTGAATGTGTTATACCCGTGTCTTGTGGAGTAATGACGCTGAAATGTTGGAAACACAATCACATACATACATGCTGCCCACATATTATTGTAGCCCAGTTTGCGCTGATTATGGTGCTACTAAACTTAGTCATTAAAATGTTTATTAGCAACTGAAAAAAAAGCACAAATGTCAGGACATATCAACTTCTCCAGGGCCCAAAACACCCTCAGACCCCAGAGGGTTAATGGAACTCAAGCTTATTACAAAAATATTCACCCAGGAGAATGTTTGCATTAAAGTCTTATCTAAAACTAGCCAAGTAATTTGTATAGTCAAGTAAACTTAATGTACACAAAGCATCTCTTCCAAAGTAACTTTAAAGCATTATAGCCTGTTTTTATAAAAGCATTTTATAAAAAACAAACACTTACTAACGCCCAGGCAAAAGGGAATAACCCTAATGACAGACAAAATGTCATATAAAAAGGGCACAAAAGGCATCAAATGAATGAAAGAGCAAAATACAAATTTTAAAAAGCCACAACAAATTCATTGTGTGTTTGCACACACACTTGACAAATAAGGCTAATACTGAGCACATGTAAATGCAAAGGTCAGACACTAAAGTGCAAAAATGCAGGAACAATATAAAAACCAGAGCATAGGCAGATGTGGCAAAAATACAAAACAAAGTGGTATAAATACTAATGGTTATGTACAATGATGTACTGTGTAAAACTCTACACAAATTTGAATTGCACAAAAAGGACACAAAAATATAAGGTATACAAGACTGTTTAAAACAAAAACAGGAGTAAGAAACAACAGAAATGTGGAGTCTCCATAAAATGTTTGACACACCAATGATCAACCATCAAAGAGCTTTGAAATCTGGAGAAATTATTCTCAGAGGCAAATGTTTAAATTGCTAAATGACAAGTGGGTTGCCAAAAAAAAAATATCAAAAACTCTGTATCGGCTCCAATACTGCCATTTTCTGTTGGATCGGGTATCAGTCAGATGAGACCGATCCAAATCCAATATTAAGCTTATACGGTTGTTAAAACCCACGAAAGGCACAAAACAAGCACCATAAAGATTTCATGCACTGTTTTCCAAGTGTTCTGAAGCCGATCTATAGTTACATTAAAGTTGTTAAATTCAAGTTCACAAACTCTTGTCCGCTGCGGTTGTCATCTTCCATTCAGGATTCAAATGTCGTGTCACGCTTTGTTACGACTGTCAAGACTACAAAACTCCCAAAATAATTAAACGTTCCTATTATCATTCTTGATCTGTAAAAAAAAAAAAAAAAAAAAAAAAAAAAAAAAGGTTTTGCATTAAAAGTACTTTCTTGCGGTTTCTAAATCAGGTTACTTACTACCATATGTCTGAGATCACAACTGGAGTAGACCGCGCTATTAATTGTTATTCATGTGTACCATAACTGAAATTTAAAACCGTTAAAAGGAAAAGACTCAAACTACAGCACAGATGTAATACACTACACATAAATAGCTCTTCCCTTTGTGCTTTGAACTTTTCTATGCAGAGTGCTGCACACTGTGACTCCATGTTGCTTCAAGTGCATCATTCTGCACACCGGATGTTAGTTTTTGCCACTCTGTATTGGAGCCTTTCGTATTAGAATACTTTTGCGCAATGAAAGATGAATACTCTTGTTCTGTCCTATTATATGTTGCTGCCTCATTACCGTGCTGTACATTTAAAATAAATGTCTTTTAATTTCTCACACCTGCATATGCACACAGGCACAATAAGCTCAAGTTGATGTTAACTAGGAGACTTCTGCATAGTTTTAGTTTAATTAGAAATTAGGAAATGTTACACCAAACCTCCAAGTTTCAGATGAGAGATTTGAAAGTAAACTTGCAGAAAGAGTCTCGGTAATGTCCAAGGCGAGTTGATTCTAGCTATGGATGCCAGCAAGAGGACTCAAATTGACAAAAAGCTATAAAACAAAAAGGTGCAATATGTACAGAAGAAAAACTGATTAGTAGAACTGCACTTCCTGCACCTGAAGTAGAAGTAGGCGACAAATCAGGAATGTGCTGAAAGCACATTATAGTAAAAGTAATATAGATTGCCTTATCTGCAACCTTGTTTTGACTGGTCAAGATAGATTCAGATCTATAGAAGTTAGGTCTCAACAGAAGGCTGAAGTTTCTGCATCAGAGCTGATGCTGCAAGCACAAAATCACTGATAGTTTTAAAGTCAATTTCATAGCACAAGATACAGAACAAGTAGTTGCAAGAATGCATTAAGCAAACAAACTTTCCTAATCTGGTGCCAAACCGATCTTAAAAACTGAAGTTAAGACCTTAAGTCACTCACATTTTTGAACAAACGTGAAAGTGCACGATCCAAACTTACATTTGTATAATTCATGAACGAAAACATTGTAACATATTGATGTACCATTTTCATGGTAATGCAATGTTTGATTTTAAAATGGGTTTCAAAGGATGAATTGAGATTTAAAAGTTTTCAATTGATATATAATTTCTGATGATTTCTAAAGTGTGATAAAGTCTTTGTTGCCTTTCTCTTTGACGACAGGTCAGAACTCCTGTTATGTAGATTTGAGGTGCACTCTTGTCAAAAACGAATTTATTACTCTTCCTGCATAATCTTTTACAAAAACATTGGTAAAATCTATTCAGGAGACTTAGACCCTTCCAACAATATATAGTTTGTCATGATTAGATTAGGATTTAATTGTAATATAGTGAAGTAAACTTAGGCATCCCACAGAGGGGACGGGTGACAGTTAAAGGGCTAAAGTTCTACAAATAAAAACCATAAATAGGAGAAACAGTGAATTTTATTTAAATAACTCTTCAAAATGTGAATTGGAACAAATACCAATTTTAAAAAAAAATAAAAAAATGGGCCATTATCATAGTCACTGAACAAAAGAGGCATAAATACAAGATCAAAACCATAACTAAAATGGAACATGGACTCAAGAAATGATACAAAAAGGGGTAAAAATAAATAAAATAAGTCAAGCATAAACAAGTGCACAACAGGGGAGGGGGGGAGGAAAACCCCCATCTAGAAAAGGGGTCCAAAGAGCACAAGATAAGGGGAAAAGAAAAAGGCATAATACAGGGACAACAGCATAAACCATAAGATGGGACTCTAGAGCAATAAATAAAGCAAGGAGCATTTTTTAATATTGAAAGTAATTTTTGTATGTTTATGCATGTATATTTCAAGTTATACTGCATCACATGACTTGGTCAGTTTCATATTTAGAACAGTCTTTAGGGTTTAATATGGTCTTTTAACAGTTCCTTAACCATATTTAATTTGAAGCTTGGAAAAGTGTAAAATAGTTCAAGTTTGATTTCTGTTGTAACCTGACATTGTTACAATGCCATTTGCCAGCGAAGGATTTTACATTGGAATTGCATGTGTAAATTGGATTGCCAGGTTTGATGCGGCATTTATTTATTTTTAGTAAAGAGGATTTACAATGATTATGAAAGACCACATAAATGGCACATAATGAAAGGCAAAAGTCAAGCACGAATTACCCATTCGGATAAGATTTAAACTCAGTTTGAAACAGGACTCAAGGTAAATGTTTAACTTTTAAAGTAGTTTTTAAAATTGCTACATGAACTAAGCAAAAGATTCTGCTGACTCAAATTGGCCACAAGAGGGCAGTCAAGTGGATGTATAAAGCACAAGAGGAACCTCTGAACAGACTCCATTTGAGAAAGCCAAAAATAGCTCAAATGAAAGAAATTGACAACTCAAATGTTGAAAGCACACCTAAAAACCAAGTAGTTCTTACAACACTCAAACTGTAAAAGAAAACTTGCAAGAGCTTTGACTGGATGAAGAAAAGAGAATGATTGGCATCTGGTTTGAGCCCAAATGAGATAGAGAACCTAACTTGACAAAACCGCTTGCGTTGTGCACATGTTCAGTTGGGAGAACCATGCTTTAAATTTATGTGCTTGATCCTTAAATTTGAAACTGGAATTCAAAGTTTATAAACTAGATGTTTCACGCAAAGGCACTTGAGCAAAGATTGCCCCCCAAAAAAATTTAAAAAAAAAATAAAAAATTCCAAAGGAGGACAGTTCCACATCCGGCAGTTGTGAGAACAAAACTAGTACAATAACTACTAATTCAATAGATCATAAAACATGTTGGTACACTGGAGCCAAAAACAGTGAATGCATTCTTGCTATAGTTCCAGTCAGGGACGGCCCAAGCCTTTTTGGGCCCCCCCTCCAAGCAGAATTTTATTTGGGGACCTCTGTGCCACCAATATGATTGACTACGGTCAATGCTTGATTATTCACACACTATAAATCCTACACAAACATTATCAATTTTATTTGTTGTAGCCTTGTTGCCTACATCATACCAATGTCTGCCGGGCATTTTACCCTTCTACGGTTTTTAAATTGTAACCGCAGCAAACCCACAAGAGTGGTCAGCTGTTAATTTGCACTTTAACATTCAAAGTCTTACAGTATTAAGTGGCATACTTGTTTACTGAAAAGTAGCCAAATAAACCAGCAGGCAATGCATTTACTGTACACAAGTTAACCATTTTAATTGCTTTAAGTAAAAATTACCAATGTACAAAAGTGAAGATCAACTACAAATAAAACGGAGCTAAACAGTATCTTATATAAATGTAAACGGACCCCGCTTGATTTCCCCCCCCCCCCATTAATTAATTGCCTGTAGGTGTAGTGGAAGCTTCGACCATCAGATTTAGGGAATGTGAAGTTTTCCTTTTTAGGCAGTGACCCTCTGCTTACCAGATCAGTCCTTTCTGACTAAGACAGGATAGATGACCACTCAGCTGGGTCAAATGGAGGAGCTTCTGATCCATAGTGTAGGCTGAAAGTTGAAGGAGTAGATGTGATAGATCCCAATGACCACAAGTAGAATGACCTATAAAATTAAATTTTTTTTTTTTTTATTCAATATTCTACAGTAAACTGAGCAAATACAATGGCTGCTGTACTATTAACTTACCTGCTACATCTGCGGAGGTTGAAACAGACATGGAAGGAACAGCAGGATCCGTGGATGCAGATGCTAGTAAGTGCTCCTCACCTGCAGAGGCTGGATCTGATGAAAAATGAAAATAAAAGCTAGCCGTGTTACAAGTCATATTAGAAGGTAATGCAACGGTCTGTCCAAGGAGAAAAAAAAAAACCCCCCCCCCCTCACAAAAGTCATGGGTTACCCATAAGACTATTGATCTGGGCTTGTTGATACTCACCTGCTGTATCATCAGCTGTAACACTGGCACTTGGGCCTGGTTGCGTTGGTTGTGCCCCACCTCCAAAATGTTTCAACAGAGCTCCTAGGGAAGTTTCACAAGGGTATAGTTGAGGGTACAGAACATTTAAATTATTAAACACAGTTAGCCATCTGTACACAACTTAAATCTATAGCTAATTAAAGCATAATGATATCTGAATATAATAGCAAAGACCACAAAAGGTAGATGTAGATAGTTAAGTTCTTTAATTAGTACCAAGTTTATGGAACAGAAGCTTATTTTTATTACAAAAATAAGCACCCAGGAAAGTGTTTACACAAGATAACTTTAATCTAAAACTAGCCAAGTAATGTTGTATTATAATATATTAAGATGTCAAAGGCTATTTACGGATGTTTAATCAATCATGAACTTTCCTAAAACAAGACATGCTACCTAGACTGCTTATTAACTGCCAGCTAACATTAAAGGCTATGTTGTGAGCTAGTTTACTTGAAATCTTAACATATCTTTATCTTGCCACTCCCCCCTCTCTGAACCAGAAGGATGTCCTTTGTGACGTCTTGCTGCAGTCTCTTCAAATCACCTTCAATAGTCACAGTCCGACTGTGTTTGCGCCCTAGTACATTTTCTGATTTAATATTGCGTTTGTATAATTACCCTCAACCATTTGTCAATTAACAAATCACCAAAAAACAAACCTTTCATTTTAGGTGTTCTTAGGGACCCCCTAGTGGCCACAAGCAGATGCTTAGTTTCACACCAAAGCAGCCGTAATTGTGCAAACTTGAAACCATTATAAATGACGACAGATTACTAAACTATCAGATGATTAGGGCTGTATCACCAGCAAAGTCACGATACATGACTGCACTGAATTTCACCTCAGCAGAATTTAGTAAAACAGCGGTTTATTAAACACTGCATACTATAGTGCCATTTCTAACTACTGGCAGAGCAGGCAGCTGACCCCTGCATTATGAAGGGCCTCCATAACTGTACCACAGTACAATATAGGTAATGGAATATGTTTCATGTTTACATTGTGCACTCCCCACCAGGTACAATACTCTGTTTGCATCTTGTTTTTAAGCCCATAAATAATGTACTTGTTCTAATAAATGTTTGTAATGTACACATTCTAATATTTAAAAAAAATCATTTACATTGCTGGTAGGTTATTGCACAAATTAACTCTACGATTAAAAAAAAAATAAAAAATTAGAAGAGTTCTAAACTAACGCGCTGTCTTCATTGTATCTAACACACACACACACGCCCCGTTCACACCACCAGCAATACAGAGCGACAATCCCATTCATTTTCATACACGCTCAAGGCTGATTATGCTCTACACGTCCGCAAGTTCGCTTAGGTGCGTGCGGCAAATATGACGTCATCGCGGAGTTGGCGGAAGTTCGCTTTGAGTGCGCGCAACGTCGCCACAGCTTTACGGTAAATAGAGAACGCAGCAAAACGGTACATACATACATAGCCTCTCTCTCTCTCTCTCTGTCGTAAATGAACACTTGATGAATTACTTTTCTGAGAATAGATTGAAGTGGAGATTGCTAAACTGCAAGCTAACCGCTGTTTTCAGAAAGCAAACGTGTTTATCCACAGTGGAGAGAGCGTGCACAGGGTTGCCAGGTTGACAAAGATAAGTAGCACACTTAACAGATATTTCCGTATTGCACAAGTGTGAAGCTCTGTTTTGGGGATTATGTCTCTTTATATCAGGCAACCCAGTTGTGTTCCTGTGGCCAGATTAAACCTTGTTGTAGCCTATATATGCCCTATTAATTCTTTTAGAAACTTCGCACTTTTCTACTCAAATTTTAAACGTTGTAAAATGTTAAACAAATTAAGCGTGGTCCACTGCTGCACAAGTGCCACAATATCGATACAGGGCCAGCTGTATCAATACTCGTATCGTCAAATCTCTGTGACGATTCATCGTCGTATCGATATTTTGAACACAGCACTACAGATGACCCAAACAACTTGGAGCCTCTGACTACAAATCATCTGCTGATGAAATAACCACCAATCAAGCCACGTGTTATTCAAGGAACAGGACAGCAGCACATCCAACACCAAATCCCAGCTCACCTAGAATACATAGTACACGTTAAGTTGACGTTAGGTTGATGTTAACCTCATCAACATCAAAACTAGACTGTTGCATATACAACATTTTTAGGTATTACTGAAGAAATGAAAGTGAAACCTGCAGTGTGTCCTCTGGTTTGACTGACCAGGGCTTGAAAAAAGACGTGTAGAGTGGGGTAAGATCTGGAATAAAGCCAACATTAGGACTCCGGAATTGCCAGACAGCTGTGACTAGGAGGGTGGGGGGGGGGGGGGGTCTACATGATTGCCTGCATGTACAGAAGTAATAATCCAGAGGACAAACAGCACTGTGCCTAAAGAGCATTAATATTAATGTAGACAAGGGACTACACTATTGTGCCTTTTCTGCACCCCTGTTCCAAGAACATTTGCTGGTAGACGCTCAGGTCTTCACAGAGGTTTGGTCAACAAAAGGAGAACTTTACCATTTCTTTTTGTTTTTAGGGTTAGTCATGTGATGTGCACAGAAACGGTACATGGAGGGGGGTGGGGGTGCTGGTACCTTATCTACAGCTTTTTGTTGGCAGACTTTGGCCTTCATAAGAGTCAAGAGCACATTTAAACTTTTTTTTTTTTTTTGAAAAAGCACGCTAATCAGCAGGTGAAAGCTACAGACCCCATGTTACCATCTAAAACTTTAACGTTTTGCAATAGTCAAAGAAAGCTCACACTGAATGTGCAAGCTGTAATTTCTTACCTTCAGATGGTCAATCAGATACTGCTGGGCTTGGATTAAAGTGCTTTTACTTGCATCAGGGCTTCTTGAAGAAACTAAATAAAAAATTAGAAGAGTTCTAAACTAACGCGCTGTCTTCATTGTATCTAACACACACACACACGCCCCGTTCACACCACCAGCAATACAGAGCGACAATCCCATTCATTTTCATACACGCTCAAGGCTGATTATGCTCTACACGTCCGCAAGTTCGCTTAGGTGCGTGCGGCAAATATGACGTCATCGCGGAGTTGGCGGAAGTTCGCTTTGAGTGCGCGCAACGTCGCCACAGCTTTACGGTAAATAGAGAACGCAGCAAAACGGTACATACATACATAGCCTCTCTCTCTCTCTCTCTGTCGTAAATGAACACTTGATGAATTACTTTTCTGAGAATAGATTGAAGTGGAGATTGCTAAACTGCAAGCTAACCGCTGTTTTCAGAAAGCAAACGTGTTTATCCACAGTGGAGAGAGCGTGCACAGGGTTGCCAGGTTGACAAAGATAAGTAGCACACTTAACAGATATTTCCGTATTGCACAAGTGTGAAGCTCTGTTTTGGGGATTATGTCTCTTTATATCAGGCAACCCAGTTGTGTTCCTGTGGCCAGATTAAACCTTGTTGTAGCCTATATATGCCCTATTAATTCTTTTAGAAACTTCGCACTTTTCTACTCAAATTTTAAACGTTGTAAAATGTTAAACAAATTAAGCGTGGTCCACTGCTGCACAAGTGCCACAATATCGATACAGGGCCAGCTGTATCAATACTCGTATCGTCAAATCTCTGTGACGATTCATCGTCGTATCGATATTTTGAACACAGCACTACAGATGACCCAAACAACTTGGAGCCTCTGACTACAAATCATCTGCTGATGAAATAACCACCAATCAAGCCACGTGTTATTCAAGGAACAGGACAGCAGCACATCCAACACCAAATCCCAGCTCACCTAGAATACATAGTACACGTTAAGTTGACGTTAGGTTGATGTTAACCTCCAAAACTAGAAAACTAGACTGTTGCATATACAACATTTTTAGGTATTACTGAAGAAATGAAAGTGAAACCTGCAGTGTGTTTGACTGACCATGATTGCCTGCATGTACAGAAGTAATAATCCAGAGGACAAACAGCACTGTGCCTAAAGAGCATTAATATTAATGTAGACAAGGGACTACACTATTGTGCCTTTTCTGCACCCCTGTTCCAAGAACATTTGCTGGTAGACGCTCAGGTCTTCACAGAGGTTTGGTCAACAAAAGGAGAACTTTACCATTTCTTTTTGTTTTTAGGGTTAGTCATGTGATGTGCACAGAAACGGTACATGGAGGGGGGTGGGGGTGCTGGTACCTTATCTACAGCTTTGTGTTGGCAGACTTTGGCCTTCATAAGAGTCAAGAGCACATTTAAACTTTTTTTTTTTTTTGAAAAAGCACGCTAATCAGCAGGTGAAAGCTACAGACCCCATGTTACCATCTAAAACTTTAACGTTTTGCAATAGTCAAAGAAAGCTCACACTGAATGTGCAAGCTGTAATTTCTTACCTTCAGATGGTCAATCAGATACTGCTGGGCTTGGATTAAAGTGCTTTTACTTGCATCAGGGCTTCTTGAAGAAACTGGAAAAATAGAGATAGAAACTCATAACTTGTCAGAAACGCAATTTGATGGGTTGCAGTTGGTAGCAATGATCCAAAATGAACTATTCTGCCTTCACCTTAAAGCGGTTGACCCAGTAATGAGATCAATATGCCACATGCTGTAAACATACAAGGGACACAGGTTAATCTTCAGTTCAAGAGGGACTTCTCATCTAGGCAGCTCCTGGAGAATGTTCCTATGCCCTTGTCAGTACCTGGTTGTAACAATTAAAATAACTAATTTTAAAGAAATACTGAGGGTTGTGTAAATGAGGTACAACTGCAAGATGTAACATTTAGCCATTTAAAAAGGTCAAACAAGGCTAGAAGGGCTTAGAACTCTTGCATGAGCCATATCAACGTGGACAGCAGCCAACGAGTGGACATAAATCCTTAAAGAGAACAGTGCATCCAGCTCCATGGTGTCCTGCTTACCTAGGAGAAAAACAAAAATGTAGTATTTGTAATTGCATGAGATTCAAGACCGTTGTACAGAAGAGTATTTTCCAAGTTTTAACAAGCACACCTGCTCTAACACCTCCCTTCAAACTTTGAAGTTGATAGAGATGCCACCTTCTTAGTCCGTTGTTCAAATCTAGAGCCCAAGTCAAAGCCCAAGGTAAACGGAGTATAGCTACAGACTTCTGAAAACGGTTTCAGTACCAACGGTTCACCCAAAAATGACTCCTTTACTCCTTGTGAAGTAGTCCAAATTGTTTGGTTTTCTTCTGAACACAAGATATTTTGAACAACCACTTTAACAGTGCAACAGATTAACCATCTTTATAGTTCTTCCTTGTCCACATTGCTAAAAAGACTTACAGCTGCTTACAGATATCTGTACTCCCAAATTTGGGGTGCACCTATACATCCGATATCTTAAGGTGGCAGTGAATACATACAAAGGGGCAACTGACCACCTTCTGTTTGCCTCTTACAAGTCTCCTTTCAAAGTAATACTCCTAGTAGTATAGGAGCAGAGGTGGCACTGAACCAATATGCACACTGATTGAAACTCAACTTTGACTCCTGGTCTTCAGAGTTCAGTGAATATAAAAAGTTCTCCACATTTCCAAAGGCCAAGAAGAGTTAGAAGATCCAACTTAGAAACAAGAACTTTTAGGTATAAGCAGGGGGTGGGTGGCAGGGGCAAAATAAAATTACCCACCACATACACGTGTCACTATGAAAAGTTCTGACACCGTAGCAGTACAGAGTTCTGGCAACATCTGAAGACTGTATTTAGTTTAGAGACCACACTTCACAGAAAACAAACCTTAAAAGACCCAGTTAGATTACATTTCCACACCAGACATTAACTTTATTATAAGCAAACAGCAGTTTTACAACTTTTTCAGCATCTACAGATTTAAATCTGCAAGCTCTTTAGGAGTTAGTTATTGCAGGTCACAGGTTTGTAAAATCCTCAGATTACTTAACTGGGTGTCTGTGGTCTCTCCTGGAGGCTCTTCAGGCATAGTAAGAAATGTGCACAAATTTAACTTGATTGTAAACTCTATGAATTAAAAAACAAACAAAAAAAAAAAAAAAAAAAAAAACGAAAAAAAAAAAAAAAAAAAAT